ATATATATATATATATATATATATATATATATATATATATAAACAAAAGGATATGGACTGACAAATGAATGAGCGTTATTCAAGTAGTTCGTAATAGGCTCACTAGATGGCGCTAAATGTTCTAAGTAAAATACAATCACGTCTTATTTTTAAATGAACTCCTGGGGGCCTACTATGAGCTTATATCTACCCAGCCAAGTTCCATGCAATTCACTTGACTTGGTAAAACTGAATTGCTTAAATTTGTATCATGACCTACACAAGTTGAACGGGAATGGCATGACAGGATAATGAGTTTTATTTTTTAAACGTTAATTATTGTCTCTGCCTGACTAATTGACATCTAACAAGAACGAAATGGAACTACGTACCAAATCATTTAAAAGAAATAGACAGATGTACTATCCTGGGAGCGTTCAAGCATTATTAATCGATTGTGTTCAAAATGAGAATAATTATATTTTTTTATTAATTTTATCATTGATTATACCATGACTATACCTACTACGTTGTTTTGTCATATCGGCAACTTTTCAGTCATACTTTACAATTTGTCGTACGACAAAACTACATGTCATGTCTTGTCATTATCATTGAAATTAACAAGGTGGGTTTGTAATTTGATAACATAATTGGAACGTATCTTGTGTTCGTACGTTTTCATTGATAGCATTAAAATCAAATTTGACACTGTTTATCATTGACTATAATTATTGTAAGTCAATGCTGTTTATACATTGACTTACAAATAAATGGACGACGGGTCTAATACAAAAACCACGAAAAAAATGTCCCAAGTCAACCTATTCGAAATTTAAATTGTTATGTCATCGCAGTATCGCGCTGTCCGTAGAACAAATGAAGACTAAAGCGGAGTGTCGCGCTCTGTATACGATTTTAGCGCCTTACAAGTGCGGACACTTTTTAGCGCGGACCCGACGTCCATATAATTGTAAGTCAATGTGTTTATAAGTTATTTTACGATTTTCAGCAAACCAAATTATTTAAATGATTAAAATTCCATTTAAAAATTGCAATAACATTCATGCCAATAATTTATCAACAATACTTTAAAGATTGGGAACTCGAACAAAAATTTTCATAAAACGCTCAATAGTTAATAGTATTTATTTATTGAGAATTGGCTATATAGCTTAGAAAGCTGTGAAATAATTATGAAACTGAAAATAAAATAAAACTTAAACGAAATTTCTTAAAAATGTAACAAAATGTAAAAAAGTTAGTCACGGAGTAACTTTTTTTGAATTGCTTATTTTTACATATGAGACCGCCATTTGTATGGCAAATAACACGTCATGATCCGATTTTGCTATGAAAGAAAAGGTGAACGAATTTCGAATGGGGAACGTAAACTGCATGGACAGTGAATTGTTTTTGTGAGGTCATAGTACGAATTTGACAGGCAATCCAACTTACAGGCTTAAATAGGATTGCTCTAAGAGCTCATAGTAGGCCCCCTGATGTTTTATGTAATTTTATTTTTGACTTCAGGTTCGCTCATTAGCTTTTAAAACCCTTTGTAAATTGCCAGTCTTTGCTATTTGTTTCTGACCAATTTACTTAATTTCCATTTTGGGCTTTAATTTTTACGTAACACAAAAAAACACTGATAATTTATCGACTGATGAAACTTAAAAGTAAATAAACAGAAAAACGTTCGTTATCAACTGTTATATTTTTAACATATCCATATCACAGAGAAATTGATGGATGTGTACAGTCAAGGTCAAGGTGATCTGAATAGTTCAAAACTAAGAAGATATACAAAAGTAAATACTTAGTCACTTTATTATATGTACAGACATTTTTAGTTTGTTAGTTTAGATAATTTTGATGCTGACCGTACCTTGTAGACTCCGCCATCTTTACAATTTTCTATATTCCCTATTATAATGTGCAATATTTTGAAAAAAAAAAAAACTCAATAACGTTATTTTTTGTTATCAGGTTGTTATACATATAAATAATGTCAAGATTGAGCTATTGTTTCCTATGTGTAGCGTTATACTTTAAGAATGGTTGTCCATAGTTAAAATAAATTATGATTACATGTATCTTTCTCGTTTTTCTTAATACCTACTATTGTTCATAATTTCAAACAATGAAAAATATTTACTGCTACAATGGATACATACTTTACATACATAAAAATATTACAACAACTATCGATATGAAGATAAAAAGCGGATATTGGTAGTCATTTGTTATTTTTGCTACAGATTGTTCCTAGTAAATGTAAACAAATTACTATCGATCCTGGTGATGGTGGCGTCTAGATAAACTTCCAATATAACTTTAATGTTTATGTTAGTTTTTAAATTCTGCAACTTGGCCAATCTCCAAGTCTATTTTGTCAACTTTCACGTAGTATATTTATTTGGCAAAGTATAATAATTTTGATTAGTCATCTCTATAAAATTTCTGTTCCTACAGCGAGGGTTTTACCGTGTGGCCATAACCTTTTTTATCCATCCTAAATGCGCACCAACACTAGTGTACACTCCTGGTAAGTACGGCACGCCACAACTCTGGCCATAACTGCTGATGGCTTGTACTTCTTTGTTACAAATCATTGGGCTCCCCGAATCACCCTGTAAAAATTTTATCATGAAATAGGAAGTCGATTACAACAAAATTAGTAAAATAATGGCAAAACCACATGGCGACTTTTAGCAGTGATACAAACACGCGTTTGTGTATTGTATCGCGACAAAATTTAAAACTTTTTTGTTGTTTGTGTATCGCGACACTATTGTTTTGGTTTGGAGGTTATTGGAGGTTGCATCAACACCAATGCGCGATTGCGTCGATAGAGTCGCTCATATTTAATTATTAAAAACGTACGGCTATATCTTATACAATCAATATCAAAGAAAATAAAAATTAGTCAAATTCATTTAGTATAAAAAACATTTTACTAAATTTGACCAACTTTTGCTATCCCGATTTTTGTCTTCCAATGCAATGAAATGATCCTTCCACGGAATTGAGTTTATTAGCACTATAAAAAACTAATCAATTTTATTAATTTTTACGGACAACTCACGCGTGACCCAGAAATTTACTATGCCAAAATTGTTTTCAAAAAAAAAAGACAGACAGTTTCAATGTATCTCTATAGTTTCGGATTTACATATACATACAATGTTCCAGTAAAAAACTACTGCATAACGTTAAGGGGTTATAAAAAGACATTTTAAAAATGGAGCATGGTGCTAATGTCTATGTAGGCTACGTTTATAAGCCAGCCTTATATGTTTGAATAATACTAAATAGTAATTAGGCCGTATGTTGTCGGTACTATATATTTTTTTTCTTTTATTTTGCCAATTTTTCATGGGTCTGCACACAGAGTCTGCACCATGCTGCGCTTTAATCTGACAATAACATTTCTACTAATCATATTAACTATACTAATTAGAAAGACCACGAATTTATAACTTGTTTTCTAAAGAGATCTATGCCCATCCCAGTACGGGAAATAGTCGGATGTATGTTGTAAGGGTTGATACAAGTTCGGCTTTTTTGTTAGGAAGACGTTATTTTATGATCATAGAGTTGTTGATCCGTATTCTGTTCGAACGTGCCAGTTGACTTGCTTGGTTAAAACATGAGCAATACAAAACCTATTAATGCTAATACATGTATATAGTTTTCAGGGGCAAAAGTGGCTATCAGGTTATATTTACCTGGCAAGAATCGGCACCTTCTCCAACGGCGCACATCATGCCGTCATTGTAATTTGGAGCTATAGGGCCTAATATTAGGGTGCAATAATCCAAAGACGCGATGTTAACCTTTGCAGCCAGCAGAGTCTTTGATGTCTCCGTCGAGTTGGGGTCCTCTGTACCGTAGCCATATATAAAGCACTCTCCTGAAATTATACTTTTTTTTAACAATTTTCTTTAGCTTTGTTATATTTTAATTTCGTATTCGATTTTTAACAATTTCTAGACAATTTCCCATTACCCAATTAAAAAGTCAATTATCTACTTTTGAACGCTGAAAGAATTAATTATTTTTTTCCTCAATCCAGAGGGTTTGAGTATATACAATATTGCGGCTGCATGCGCGCCAAGACATATTACGAATAAGTAATGTAAGGGTAATACTGTCTGAAGTGACCGAATTTGTGCAACAAATAGCGATTGGGAAAGTATACAAATATATCAAACATAATATCACAAAATTAGTCGCAATAAACCTATCTACGCATTCAAAGTTCGTAAATATAATTATGCACTTGAAAATGTATAGTTTTGTCAAGTAAAAATATATCTTCACATGGCGAGTAAACTAGCCAAGTTAAGGCGCAGTAAACTAGCCAAGTTAAGGTGCCTACAGAATTATTCGATTGTTGACGATCGTTCCTATCACCTGTTGGCGATGACCAAATATCAGGGTTAAAAATCGACCAAATTTGTATTTGCAACTACGCCTAATTTAAATTCCACACTGTCGATCGACAAAAAATACGTTGTCGATCGTCTGTTGCTTACACATCTACTCGATTTTGTTTGATCACACGTGTCCATCATCAAAAAATCGAACAAATCTGTAGCCCCTTCTTTTCTATACCCAATTGGCACCTTTGAAGATTTTATGCTATCAACAATTTTTCTTTTTTAATGTCTTAAACCCTGAAAATAGTAGATTGTGCAACAAGTGCATAAAACGCGTCATTTTTCCCCAGACGAGTATGTCAAATGGGTGTATACTTAAATCGAGGGTAAAATGAGTTTTATGAACGAGTTATATACTCTGCTTTTCACTTCGATTGCGAGGAAATTAAACAGCAATATTACAAATCGACGATTATTTAATTAAAATTGAATGTAAAATTACAACAGTTGGACATATTTAATGTGATGGTTTTTTATTTTATGCACTAGAGCATAAAATCCTATTTTATGCAGTCTACACCCAGCATAAATACGAACTTTAAGAGCATGAGAAGTGAAAAATAAAACGTCATTCAAAATATACCTATTTTTTTTCCCACCCTCTAAGACTATAGAGCATAGAGGATCGAAAAAAATATTATAGAAAGTTTGCAAAGCGTCAAGTCTAGGAATTGTCGTATGTTTATAAAATATAAAAGACTTATTTCTAATGTTTTGCCAGAAAAGCCTTGAATATTTTGATGTACTACTTGGAAACGATTAGACTTTTCTGTTGTCGTGTTTTTCAGTTTAAATTATGGTTAGTAAAAAGTATACTGTTGCTACTTAAACTAGGAGCATTGTCGTGGAACTGTGTTATATCTTCTATAACAGCGTCCTTAATATTAAAAGATAGCAAACTAGCTATATGTCTTAGATACCTTAGGGGTAAAAGTAAATTATCCTCCAAAAGTTTGAAGTTCCTTACGAACTTATTAATGTCAAACGTTCTCGTTGTTTTGAAATTGGATCTTTCTTCATGTCAAAATTTTTAGTTGCTTACAATGTCTATGATTACAGTTCATGTTCTACAGGGTTCAATAAAAAAGCCTGATTAACCTATACTGGGTTTGTGTTGAGTTTCTTTTTAAGTATATAAGATGATTTTATTGGTGCAGAGTATATTTTATAAAATTTAGGTTATATAACCTATTTTTTTAGGTTATATATTCCTTACTTACATATATATGTAAGTAAGGAATAGGCAAAAACATAGGGTAGGTACCTAATGTTGAATTCGTCCTAGATTAATTAATTTTGACGCCCTTTTCTTGATATGTTTCCTCAAGTGCATAAGGTAAGAAGCCCAGTAAATATAAAAATACGGTTGAGAAATCAACGGTGAGGTATTAAAATCTTACACAAATAATGTAGGAAGAGTTTTCTAAATCTATTGTATAATAATACTACAACGACATTTTGTCGGTTAGGTATATACGAGTATAATTTGTTATGTTCTCACCAAATTACCCCCACCTCAGTACCTTACTCTGTGTTTAATACACTATACAGGTAGGTCCCTTTGTCGAGTACGGGACTCCACTAAAGAGAGGGTTTCTTCTAGTTCACCGTGCTGATCTAAGTTGTTTCACAACTTCACTTCGAAAAGTTTTAACAACCTTATTAGGTTCTATCACTATGTTTTAGTTTACCTTCTATCAAGTGATAATTTAAACCAAACTACACGTTTTACGCCCGTTATAGGGGGTCTACTCACGTTTTTCGTCCAATATCCGTCCGAAACAATTAGGGGAGAAGCACCAAATATCGGATACTTTTGTTTAAAAAATTTAAAAAAATACCAATCAAAGCTTAAAACAGCTTTAAATTTAACCTTAAAGTAGTCTTTATTATAAGATTTATTAGAAATAATACCAATTCTTCATATTCTAATTAAATGTTTCAAGTTACAGTACGTTTTATAAAAAAAGGGAAATTAATGAATTTCAAAAGGTTGCCTAAATTCAGATAACCGGTTTTACGGTCCCACAAATATTTTTTGTGAATACGATATTAGGTGACAATAATTATAATAAATGAAACTAATCAAACAATTTGTTAATTTGTATTTATTAGCAATAATCAGACTTGTAATCAATCTTTGATTGACTAATTAGGAACTTAAACATAAAATAAATTAACTTGTATCTATTAGAGATCCAAAAGGAACTTTAACATTCTTCAAAAATACAATACGCTCAAACATAAAAAAACTATATTGAACTTAAATATATTAGGTTTTTTTATAGAACATGAAAAAATATATTAATTGCATGTATGAAAAGCTTTGAAGTTCTCATGCAAAAAAGTATTCTAATAGCAGATATCCAATATTAGGCTCGCGTAGGTATTAAGATTTCACAAAGCATAAAAAATTTATTACAACATAGTAAATATTATCGGTTTCAAAATATTTAGGCATTTATTTGTATTAATAGATGCTAGACTTCATAAACCTACTATACCTACTAAACCTAGCATTTGCAATGAGAATTTGTACTTATCCTGACGAAAACAACACTTTTTCATAGAATAATATATTATTTTGTATTGGAAAAAAGTAACGTGGTTTCACTGTTCTGCCATTTTCTTAACTAATAGTCTAGTCAGAGGATTTTTTTACAGTGGCGCCATTTTATAGTTGGCTTTTAAAACATAAAAAATAGAGGGCACTATAGAAAAAAAAGAGATAGTACACTATCCGAAATTAGCAACTATTCGATATCTTAGACTTCTCAGAGAATGGAAAAAATCCGGTATACGGTGCTTTTCCCCTGCTGTCAAATAAGTAATACTCGACCAAATTAAAACACAATGTCAAGTATGAAGCTTCATTTGCATCATGCGTCTTTTAATTTGCTCGAGTACCTATTACTTATTTAACAGTAATTTTTTCGGACGGAGTACTGTTTGAAAAAGCAAATTAGTATATGCGATTGAGATACCAAAAAATAGGTTCATTTCCTTTGTGTCACAATTGAGAAAATCTAAGAACTGATATAAACTACTCGTGTTTAAAAATCTAATTCGGATCAGAAAAAATATGAATAAAACTCAGTCCTCCCGTATTAGGCACGAGCGTTCTCCCGATCCAACTATGCATCGCTCAACACACCTGATATCCCGAAAAATGAGACCGGTAACATGTCGTCATCTAGCCAGGTTACATCGTCTAAATGGAGTGATATCCGTAGCACAGCGATATCGTGCGCATCCGAACGCCTGAAACCACAAAAGTTGTAATACGTTAGTAAAGTAGGTTAAATAATATTGTATTTATTTATTTAAACTTTATTGCACACAAAGTAGTACAAATGGCGGACTTAATGCCATTAGGCATTCTCTACCAGTCAACCGGAGAGCTGAGTTCAGATTAAACAATAGGGGTGCATAAAATGACAAAATAAAAAGTGATAAATTACGCACAAATAAAAAAATTTAAATAAATATGATATGATACATTTACACAAAATGTAAAATATACATATGATATATAACATATAATACACAACTATCAGTTTAATGTGAAACAGATTGATGATACTCCAACGTGAAGTTGCGGACTAATTGCTTGAAAGTTAGCTTATTCGGCGCATTTTGAATATGGGGTGGCAGAGCGTTCCAAAGTCGTATTCTCTGAAGTATAAATGAGTTGGAAACAAAACCAGTATGGTGAGGAGGAATGGGAAGAGTCAAAATTGCTATTTGAGCGAAGATTGCGGTTATGGGATGCATCCGAATATTGAAATTTACTTTTCAAATATTCAGACGCACATTTAATCGTTAATGATAGAAAAAAGAGTGGAGAGCATTCTCTAATCACGACTCTGGCGAATCGTAATATGTATACAAAGTATATATATGTATATTATAAAGTAAGCAGTAGAGCTCCTTGCGTAACAGTTCCTCCAGAGAAGTACTGCCACTTTACCTACTTTCTGCCGACAAACAGTCATATGGGCATTACTGTCAGCGTTTCGGTTTTGAAGGATAAATGGCAAATGCTATTGTATTATTAATAAATCTAAAATGTACGATCCATAATGTCTTAATGAAGGGCCAGGTAGAACTCGAACTTTTACTCTTCTGGCGTGACATGCAAGCATTGTTCCAACAGTCTATAATCGTAGCATACAATCATAGAGCAATCATACAATTGTCACGCAGGTCTGGCGTAATAATGATAGAAAAGCTCATATGAATTTCTTGTAGAAAGAATTAATAGGAAAGTAGGGACTTTTCCTTTGGGAAGGAAAAGGAGAAGAAAGGCTGTGACAAAAACAATGATATAAAGACAGGCACAATAATATAAAAACATTCGCTACAGATTAGACATAAAAGTAAGTGAACTTACCCCGAAAGGGCATTTAATAAGCAGATAGGTTTACATGATTGGAGATCACGTCGTTTCTCTCCGAGAATTTTGGTGAGAGTTGATGGGAGTGATGACGGAACGGAGCAAAGTAATAATGACGAAGAAAAGAATTAGAGAGCTATTCAAAATTTGAAAAGTAAGTGGCCAGGAACCAGAGAAAAGAGTGATAAAAAGGTGGGATGACGATCGATGCAAGAGGTCGCATTGTCACACAATAGTTCCATGCACGTTCCATGATAGTACCATACCATAAAGATTATAGCTCGAGTTTATATATACTGCTTTGTATTATGGGGGAATTGTGCTGACATTGATAAAGCCTTTGTACTACAGAAGAAATGTGTGAGAGCGATTTGCCAAGTCGAACCCTGTATCAAATCATGTAGACCTTTATTCAAGCAGTTCACTCGTCCTACTCTTTATTCAAGCAGGTTACTCATCCTACCCTCCATGTACATTACATTTACAGTTACAGTTACATTTACAGTACATTCTTACAGTTTAGATGAATTTCTCATTTATAAATTTATTTAAATTATTATGATCAGAATACATTAAATATTGTAAATTAAACTTTATATCGTAATTCACATAAATAATGACAAAAATTTACATGAATTAATAAATAATAAAGATAGATAATAGAATAATTGTCTTTATTGGAACGACTGCTATGATGTAATATTGTAAAATTTTGCATGTTAGAAATGGTGCAACACGCTTGTACTTATGAGGCCAAGTATTATGCACTTTTACCATCACCAATATCGTGTTTGCTTGCAAATAAACCATTTTCATTTCATTATATTTTCTTGTTTTTGTGACAACTGACTGTAAATCTATTCTATAAATTCTAGTATTGTTTTACTTAACGGTCCTTTTTTGACGCATTTACTAAATAGGTATACGTAAGACCAACAAGCTCTATTATTAATATGTAATTATTAATAATTAGGTACGTCTAATTTTAGTCCGACTGTTTGTATCAGAAGGATCAGTTTGTATCAGAAGGATCAGTTTGTATCAGAAGGATCAGTTTTAAATACAAATCAATAACACTTTTAACAGATTTCAATTTCCTTAAAATAAAACCAATTATAATTCCGTCCAAACATGATCACCTGACGAGTCGACAAGAAAATGACGAAATCCCGTTACAGTGACATTCTTTACATTCTAATGCTGAAGTGGCCAGTGATAATTTAACGGTTTCAGAAGATAACGCTGAAGAGGTTTTAATCAGTAAGTGGTATTGTTATTAACGTAGTAACTAATTTGTTATCTCAAATGTCTAAAAATTGAACATAGACTTATTGTGATTATCTAACTTCTAAAATATTATAATGATACAATTAATTGGCTCTAAAGGTCTCCGTTCCTAATTGTTAGCATTCTGTATAAATACACCGTGTAATACAGAATGTAGTAGCAGTAGAGCTCCTTGTGAAAGAGGTCGTTCAGGTTCGTCCAGGGTAGTACTGCCACCTTACCTATTTCTGCCGCCAAGCAGTAATGCCAGCATTACTGCGTTCCGGTTTTGAAGGGTAAGGGGTGTGATGTAATCTGTCTATGCTTAGTTGTCATAGAATGTCTGCCTCTGCCTCTGTGGCCGAACGGTTACCATGCCGGACTGCCACGCAGAGGTCCCAGGTTCGATTCCCGGGCCGGGAGAAATATTTGTATGGCCTACATTTATTTCTCTCGTGAGTTTGGGTGTAATTTGTGGTTGTCTATGTGTGTCCATGGCACCCGCGACACAGGGTTTCCCAAGTGCGGGGCTATGTTGAGTGTGTGCGTTAAAAAAAAAAAAATGTCATATTCTCCTACCTAAAATTTAATCATGTTTCTTTTGAGTTCATTAAAGTCTTATTTCTTCAAAGGTTTATTCTTTTCTTTTCGTTTATTCTTTCTTGTTTATGCGCTTTTCACGTAAAACGCGTTTTGGTTTGACGCTTAAAAAGTCGTTTAGAAAAACGTTTAAGCGCATAGACCCTATAGAGCTCCTATACAGCTTTTTAAACATAAATGTTTAAAAAAGCTTGCAACGTTATGTTGAATTAATTTGTTTAGGAATCATAGATGGCGTTACTTGAAATTTAGGTACGTTTTAAAAAATGAAATTGTTGAGTATCTATAGAACTGACCAGTGACCAACGCTTACGCTTAAAATAAAAAGCGTGCTTATGCGTTTATTTTAAAAAGCAGAATTTTTTAAGTGCTTTTCGTTTAAACGCCCACCTCTACAAGTAAATACTAATACCTTATCTGATTTGCTTAATGCTCTCGGACACCCGGGGGTAACACGACTGACACACTACGTTAGAAGCAACAATTTACCTAGTTCTGTGAATGATACAAGGTCTGTAATTTCATCGTGTAAAATATGCGCAGAAATTAAACCGAGAATCTTTAAAGGTGAAGGAAACCTTATCAAAGCAACTGCACGATTTGAACGACTAAGCATCGATTTTAAGGGGCCAATTCCCTCTAACACTAAAAATAAATATATTCTGACAATAATTGACGAATATTCTCGATTCCCATTCGCTTATCCTTGTGCAGACGTAGAGTCTGTAATCAAATGCTTAAGGGATATTTTCTTCATGTTTGGAACTCCACTTTCCGCATCCGCGTCAGAACGTCTTCAAAATTTTTGTTATATCTGGGTATAGTATCAAGCCGAACTACTCCATATAACCCACAAGGAAATGGACAAGTAGAGCGACTGAACGAGACATTATGGAGGACGATCATTGACTTACAAATAAATGGACGACGGGTCTAATACAAAAACCACGAAAAAAATGTCCCAAGTCAACCTATTTAAACGTAGTGACATGTAAAGGAATATGAAAAAGCTAAAACGTTGAATTTAAATTGTAATGTCATCGCAGTACTGTCTAATTTTACTTGCTTCGCTGGCAGAAGAAACAAACGAAGACTATAGCGTGAATGACGCTCTGTATACGATTTTAACGCCCTATAAGTTCGGACACTTTTTAGCGCGGACCCGACGTCCATATAATTGTAAGTCAATGAGGACGATACAGTTGTTTATAAAATCGAAATATTTGGAAGCAACATATTGGGGGTCTTACAGGAGGCTTTAAATTCCATTCGTTCGCTGTTGTGCACAGCAACGAAATGCACGCCTCGTGAGCGTCTATTTCAGAACCCACGTTGATCAATGAATGGGCAATCTATGCCGACGTGGCTAGCAAATCCAGGACCAGTCTTAATGAAGAAAAATATTCGTAACTCGAAATATGATCCTCTGTATATGATCCTGAGTAAGGCATAATCATAGTATAATAAGAGCACGTAGGGCAACGCCCGCCTGTTCGCCGCGTAAATGCCTACATTTCGCCCAGAGCGTAAGGTTGTTACCTTATTATTTTAGTGTAAACATAATTTGAAAACATTAAAGTGCTCATCACAATATTCGCGTGCTATATTGAAATAACCTTCTTTAAATGCAGTAGGTACTTACGTGATTTTATACCAGGTTCGCGGATTGGTATCTTGATTATGGAGTTTGATTATAAAATAGAAATGAAATGCTGAACAATTCTGAATTTGAGGTACTCTTGTTCAATCTACAACAAACACAGCAATCGACACGTTCACTATTTGATGTCATTTTTTAAACACCGAGTGACCGCTTTAATTCTATAATTGAATAGCGCATGTGACGACACGTTCTATGCAACGTGAGTGCATCGCGAGATTATGCGAATGCGTCCGTACAAGTCGCGCTGCTACGTTTGTATGGAGTTGCTATACTTGTCGTATTATACTACGGTAGGGGATGGGGTCCTACCTATGGTAGGGTCGGGCTCGGCCTGCG